CTACCTTCCAGCTATTCCTTCTCTCCGTATGGGAGCAAGGCGTCCGGCAGCGACGACAGTGACAAGTCCCGAGCCAGCCCCAGCGTGAGCTGTAAATCCAGCTCAGAGTCCAAGGCCCTGGACATCCTGCAGCAGCACGCCAGCCACTACAAGAGCAAATCGCCCACGGTGAGGGTCAGGAGCACACTGGCTTTGCCCAGCTCTGCGGAACAGTCCCTGGATCCTATACTCAGCTGGGAGCAGCTCTGCCAGCTGTACCTGCTGCTGTGGGAGACCCACAGCCATGAAGTACTACCACATTACAAATCCTTTGGGATGGACGAGCCAAACCTGTGAGCAGGGCTGACCCAGGAAAGCACTGGGGCTCCTCCACACCCTGCAGGAACCCAGTGACACTTGTCCACAGCCTTGGAGCTGGTGGGTGGGATGCAGGGGCTGTCTCCATCCCATGGCTCCTGCTGGGCTGAACTGGGAGACAGAGTTTGGACACAGGGAGGAAAAAGCTACCCTCAAGCAGGACTTGTGTCCTCCCCATGGCTTTTGGGCTGTGACCCCTCGTCACCTCATGGGGGGTCTTTAGGCAAAGGCAGGGAATATCACCCTGAGATATGCCCTGGGGTGGCTGATCATATCTCTCAGCATGTATCTGCTTTCTCCTCTCCAGATAAGTGAGAAGACGTCTCAGGAGCGAGACCGCAGTGGCTGTGGGGTGGTGGGGGGCGGCGGGAGCTGCAGCAGTGTCGGGGGAGCTGGAGCAGGAGAGCGGAGCAGTGACCGGCCCCGCACATCGCCCTCCCAGCGCCTGCTCTCGACGCATCACCACCACCACCACCTCGGGTACTCGCTGCTGCCAGCGCAGTACAACCTGCCCTATGCAACAGGTGAGAGCTGGGCCAGGCTCGGAGGGACTGGGAGGGAGCTGGACTCACCCTTGGGCTGCGGGAGCCCTTGTGCCGTCCCCCGGTCTGACTGGGTGCCTGGCCTGGGCTGCCAGCTCCTGACACTGCTTCTCCTCCACAGGTCTCTCCTCCACAGCCATTGTTGCCAGCCAGCAAGGCTCTACTCCCTCCCTATACCCACCTCCCCGGAGGTGAGAACGGTAAGGCACTACTCCTGCCAGGATGGGCACGGAGGGGGTGCCCTCAAGGGTTTAGGGTCCTCCCGTTGCCCCAGGGGCTCGCGGGAGCTGACTTGCCCCTGGGTTGTGGCAGGACATGAGGCTGGACATGAGGCTGAGGATGCCTGGGCTGTACGAGACATGTGACTGGCTCACATGGGGAAGCGCTGGAGACTCTCTTTAGACATCAGTTGAATGGTGTTAATTGTTCTGCTTGACGTTCCTGCTGCGATCCGAGGCAGACTCTGTCTTCTCCCCCCGTCGGACACACACTGACTGCCCCCCACACCCCCTTTGGTGAGTGGGATAGCTGGTACCTGCGGAAATATTTATTCTACTGGGCACCAGCGCTCGGGACGGAGGCGTCTTGCCCGTCTGGTGCATATGAAGAGGAAACAGAAGCACTGAGGTTTCTTGATGGATTTGGGACCCCACCATGTCTCTTTTGAGCTGCTGCTTCATGATGGGACTGGGGGCAGTCGGGGGCTCGGAGTGTGGGGCTGAGCCTGCCATGGGGTCTCAGGAAAAGAAGGGCTGGCTTACAAGGAGCCATGGCAGGCGTGGGGGGGGCTGTTGTGAGCCTGGAGATGGTGTCACCCTGGCCGGAGGGAGCCGTGGGGCACAGGTTTGTGCTGCATATGAGGCTCTCCCTCTCCCAGTCCCTCATCTGATCCTGCAGCCCAAAGCACCCACCGCTCTGTGCCCATGGGCTGGAGCCACTGGTGTGTGGCTGATGGCTGGAGCAGGGCTGTGGGAGCTCCTCGCCCCGGTGAAGCAGCCTCTGCTCCAGGGGGCTGGGGGCAAGTGGGGCACAGAGTTGGGGGCTGTGCCCGCCACCCCAGCTGGGGCTGTCAGGGTCCCCCTGTGCCATGCACGGTCCAGACCTGCCTGAAGGTCCTGCCCATCACTTTCCAATTGGTTTTTGAGCTGCAACTCAGTAATACCCCCGGCCTTTTCTCTGCCCCCCTACCGTGGCAAATGCTCCCCAAACCCTAGGGCAGCTGGGGCATCCTGCTGGGGCATGGCTGTAGCTCTCCTTTTCATCCACCTTTTGCTTTTAGGGCGGCTCCCCCAGGCTGTGGGCAGGGCGCAGCAAGGAACAAGCACACTTAGGTTCTGCCAGAGGCATGTGGGGCTGTGCTGGTCCCTGCTCTGGCCTCGTGCTGGGGCTGGGGGCACCAGGCCCTGGAGGAAGCTGGTCCCTGCTCCCGGCTGTTCCCCAGCACTGAGGACAGGGGCTTTCTGGTCCTCTGCCCCTAGCCCCAGAGCAGCTCTCCCTGGGCCGACGCTCTACCTCGGCCCTGCAGCGGCTGGGCCATCCTAGCTCCCCCCTCTCCTGCTGCCTGGCTGCGGGGACATGGAGGCTGTGGGTTTCGGTTGCGTGTGTGTGTCCATGTCGCACCCGGCCCCAAGGGCCGCTGTACGGGGATGCTCTGCCCGCCGGGCTCTGTACATACTGTAAAAAGCAATTGTTTGAAAGCTGTTGTTTTGGGTTTTGTTTTCTTTCCCCGTTTCTCCCCCATCCCACTGTATCCAGCTGGAAAGGAGGTGCTGGCTGCTCTCGGCCCTGGTTCAGGTGCCAGCAGTGTGGTGGCCCCAGCCTGCTCTTGTTGTTTGACTCATTTTTCTCCCGCTCTTCGTTGTCTTTGGAAGGAGGCGTGCCCAGCACGCTCCACAGGGACAGGGTGGGCGATGCCCAGCAGTGGCTCGACCCACCTCAGGTCCCTTCCAGAGCCACACACAGCTATGGGGCTGGGGACTGGAGGGGTCAGGGTGCTTGGGGGAGCCCCACATCCCACACGTGGAGGAGTGTCCCACTGGCTGCTCCTACCTCCAACCTCGGCCAGCCCAGCACAGCCTGGTTCCCAGCATGGCCGGGGCACACCAGCGGCTCCAGGGGCACAGAGGAGGGTGTTGGGGCAGGGGGGCTTGGGGGGTGCCACAGACTTTGTTGGCAGTCGAAGGGTGTCAGGGGGCTGCTCCCCACCTTCCCAGTTGGGTCCCAATTGAGTCTCCCTTTAGGTGTTAAATGAAACAACCGTTTATGCAGAGTAGGTTTGAGGTTTGATGTATCTGGGTTCTCTGGGTCAGTTGTTGCCTGTGGGCCTCAGTTGGCCCCCGCACTGCGGGGGGTTCCCACTGCCTGGCCCCCGACCAGGGTGTCGGACCGTTGGTGTTTATAGCTCTTGTTTCCATTGGCGTTGCTGTGTTGGGTTTCATTTCAGTCTTCCTGACTCTGCCCTTCTGTAAAGTGTACATTATTACCGAGTTCCCTGTTTTTTTATATATATATATATATAAATATATATATATACAAACTGTACTCTTCTTGCCTTTGTACATTTGGGCAAGGAGGGAGAATAAATCTTTTTAAGAGACAATCACAAACCTGTGAGGGTGGCTTTTTCTTCCTGTTCCCCCCAAGTCTGGTCCTTTATCCCCAAAAGCTGTGGCCAGTGATTTTTGGGGGTGGGAGAGGAGGTTACCCCATCTCTAGGGCATCTGAGAGGGCTCAAGCAACTTCATTGGTTTGAGGCTCCATCCCTGCGCTCCTGCATCCGGCCCCTCCACTCTGCCCCAGCACTCAAAGCTCCGGGGGTGCTGCAGCTGAACTCTGAGGGGATAATTTGGGGCAGAACCCTCCAGGTTGAACCCCTGGGCACCAAGGTCCTGCCCTCCACCATTGCCTCAGGGAAGGCACTGGGTGAGCAGGGGGTGCCATGGGGCAGGGCTTGGCTCCTCCAGCTCCACCACGGAGCTGATCCGTGCGGGAGGCAGCACCCAGGGGCAGCAGAGGCACCTTCCACATTTTCTAGAGGGTGTTTCTGAAGATACCAGTGATCTGAGACCTCCACATCTGCCCGCCTGTGCTGGAGGCAGGGCAGGGGAGAATTTAGAATTGTCAGACCTGAATGTGCAGTGGCACAACCTTGTCACTGCAGCTCATTAAGGAGCTCTGATGAGCCTCACTCCAGCTTCTGTGACCAGGATCCTGCACTTTACTAGTAAAGGAGCCAAGTGGTTCCCATTCCATCACCTTCAGGATGTGCCCAAGCAGAGCACCATGTGGTGGCAGCAGGGCCCTGGCACATGCAGGGGCAGGAGCAGAGGCAACTCCAGCTGTAAGAAGGGATAAAACTGGGCCCTTCAAAAGCCAGAAGCAGCACTTAGTGCTGCTTCAGCCAGAGAACACCCAGTCCACAGGTCTCTGTCAGGGGTCCATCAGCACATCCCAGCTCTGATTCTAAACTGATTTAGGGTCTGAGGAGGGAGCAGAGCCACCGGCCCCTTGATTTCATGGGAGGGGAAGGAGGGCAAAAGAGACACAAAGTTTATTTATTCATGCACATTCTTATCGCAGCCCTACCTCACTCTCCCCTGACCAAACACTGATCGTGGTGGTTATGGAATGTGAGAACACCCAGGAACAATCCCACGTGCTGGAAGAGCTGAGGGCATGGGCTCCTCGGACACAGGTGACACATTCCCCTTCCCCTGGGGCCTGTCAGAGCCAGTCAGGATACAGCTCCCATGGCACAGGGACAGAGCACTACCTCCTTCTCCAGCATTAGACAGGGCAGGGCTGGGACTTGACCTACTGCCAGCACCATGGCCCCATCCTGGGAAAGCCCCTGGATGGGGAGAGCATCCCACTCTACCTGCCCCGACACAACCCTTTGGTCTGGATACAGCCTTTAGCAGCATCTCAAGCTTTGAGCTCATGCCTTTGGGAAGGTAAAGAGGAGTAGAGGAGAGGGCCCAGGGCTGCTCCGTACTGGTCGTGGGTGGAGGGTAAAGGCAGGAGCTTTTCCTGGCTCTTTGACCATCCCAAACATCATAGCATAGGTCAGGAAACTGTTCGTCCCAAATAAGCAGCCCCAGGTGTGTGAAGTTCATCTGAATGCCCCTTTTATTGAACGCTGTGATAGTGCAGTGGGAACATGGAACAGGGTTAAGACTGCGTAAAACAAAAGCTGAAGAGCAAGAATTTTCAAAAGAAAAAAAAAGGGAAAAAAAAAAGACCAGTTAAACCAGCATTGGAGCAGAGACGCATGGGGGGTTTAATGTAGTGTTAAAGGATAAACTTCAGTGTCTCCTGCATGTGTCCCACACCAAACCAGGCTGTTTGCTTTATGTCTTGAGTGGGGAATGAAAGAGCACATACTGGGCAGGTGGGAGGCACTGCCATGGGTCCGGTGGAGTCCCGGGGGTGCACCCCAAGCAGGGCCCAGGCCCCGGGGCTCCCACACCACACAGCTGCACGGGAAGAGCTTCTATGCCAGTTCATAAACATCTTCCTTTTCCTAGTGATGATTACATGTGTGATAGATAGTTCTCTAGGCAACATGTTTCAATGAGAGTCAACTCTGGGGATACACAGCCCAATCTAACAATGAGAAATGCACTTGCAGTCCAACAGAAACTTGGCTTCCCTTTCCTCAAGAAAGGAGGTGGAACCCTCTCTCCCCTCCACAGCATGTTGGGGTCCCACTGGAGTCCCCACTGCAGCTACTCTTCGTCGGAGGAGGAGCTCTGATCCAGGGGGTACACCATAAACATCACATCCGGCCGCAATGGGACTGCGGGGTGACCAGGCCGCACGATCTCAAAGCCCAAGAAGCTGAATGTCTTCAGGAGTGGAGCTACCAAAGAAAAGGAGATCTGTTACCACCAGGAGTGATCCTCTACCTGCCTCACCCTCAAGCCATAAATATCCAAGAGCATGGAACACCCTCTGGGAGTGCATCCAGAGCTTCCTGCACAGAGAAGAACTACATTAAGGTGACAGCCCTTTCCAGCAGGAAGTTTTGTCTCTTCCTGGGCTCATCCAAGTGTGAAGGGGATTTGAGCTGTGCAGCTTTGTCCATGTTTCTTCCTTCCTCTGACAAACAGTGATGGTTGGTCATCTGCCTGCACCAGATGCACATCCCCACTTTCCCAGGACACACGTGGCCATCCCACAGGTTTTATCCTGCACTTCTCTGGGCCCTGAAAGCAGGACAGACAGCAGCAAGCAGGAACCTGCTTAGAAAGTAGGCAGATGTTGTCTCCTCCATAAGGAGGTCCTGGAGCTCAATGCAAACTCCAGACAGCTCTGTGCAGCTTGGGAGCACCCCAGAAAATTCACATGTGGGAATTCTGAGTGGGGTCAGCGCAGAAGCCCCCACACGTCGGGGTTGCCAGACAAAGTTCTGTGACACAGTGACTATTACTGAAACGATGGCTTCCCTGTGACCTATGACAGTCACTCCAGTGAAATGTCTGATCCCTACAGGCCTCTCGGGTGATCAGCTCCAAGGCACTAAATGGTCAAGCAGAGCTGCTCCTGGAGGTATCTTCCAGGCAGCGCTGAATTTCAGCTGCACTTGGGACCTGGGGTGCTCCACAACTCCTACATATAAGCCCTGGTATGGGCTGTCCCATGTCCCCAGCCTGTCACCCACGCAACCACTGCTGCTGGTGACATAACAGCCAGCACTTAATCTGCAAATTATTCTTGGCATGGTAATATGGGATGATGACATCTTCCTGGGCTCAGCTCAGCTTAGCTCTACTAATGCCCCTCGTTTTGGAGAAGTCAGTGCAGCTCGTGAAGCTGCAGAGTAAAATTAGAGCTGGGGTTGGAATTACTCGCTGGGTTACAGCCTGTGCCTGGTGGGACTTAAAGTGACATGTCCCCAGCCTGGTACCTCCTCCAGCCCTCCATGCCTTAATCCCTCACCCAACATGTCTGTCTTTAGATCCTAAAGCCCTCAGAGCCATAAGACTCTCCAGCCAGGGCTAGGATTACCTGTAAATCTGGAAAGTGCAAAAGTGCCAGGAGATCTTTAAAAAGCAGCTGAATTACAGGGCACTAATCTGGAAGCACTCGTTTCCCATCTAATAACTCCTCTCTGGTTTCACCTTCCACATCATTGCAGCCTGGTGCCAAACAGAGACTTCACTGCTTACCAAAGGTGGAATATTAACTGGTTCTGGAGGAGAAAAGCCTCCCAAGTCATTCAGGAGCAGCTTTCTGCACCAGAGTATTTAATGGCAAGGCACAAAAGCATCATATGATATCAAGGAATCACGGTTTGGGTTGGAAGGACCTTAAAGCTCATCCAGTCCCATGCCCTGCCATGGGCAGGGACACCTTACACTAGACCAGGTTGCTCCAAGCCCCACCCATCCTGGCCTTGGACACCTCCAGGGATGGGGCAGCCACAGCTTCCCTGGGTCACATGTGATGTTGCCATCTAGCAGATCTGCTGGAGAAACCAAAACACTCCCTCACCCTTAACCTCCAAAAAGGGCTTATTTCCTCCACAAGAAACTACTTCCGTGAGAACGTCACACGTAACGACGCCTGCAATAGGAAGGGTCCCATGGGCCTTGCCCTGGAATTCCCAGGTTTCTGTACAGCTCCAGCAGCACCATGTGGGCCGTTGGGACAAACCCAAGCACGGGGGTCAGTCCTCACCTCGATCTTCTCTGCTTTTTCTGAAGCAGATGAAGACGTAGTTGACTTTCATTTTTTCTTCAGCAAACTCCAGCAGAGCTGACAACCTGCCAAGGAGAGGGAAGACAAAAGGACGTCAGCTCTAGGAAGTTCTGTCCTGAGGAAGCCTCTGTGTGTTATCAAATTATTAACTGGATGTTTTCAGGCACAAAGATTGTTTACAGCCCCCTTCCAGTGAACAATGGGTGTTGAAACAATGGGCTTCCTGCCCTGCAGATCCAAGAGTTGTCCTGGCTCCTAGTAACCGACAAGTCCCTGTCCTGGCAGCCCTGAACACCCTCCCCACCTGTGGTGCTTAGGGACTGAAGCCTTTGTGGGCAGGAAGCAGAATATCACCACTGGTCCCAGGCCAGGCTGCATCCCCCTCCACTGGCAACACACACGGGGGAAATGTAGGAACTCTGTGCTTTTTGGGAAGGAAAAACATCCAGAACTGAGCTCCTGGCAGGCAGAGAAGGAGAACAAACCATCCCTGGAGGAGCATGTGCGCAGGCAAAGCCGTTTCCCGAGCGCATGGACTGGGATGGCACAGCTGCTGCACCCTGAATCCTCACTTCCTGCCTTTCCAGTTAGATTATTTCTGCCACTTCTTGATGGAAGCGGCGCTGCATTAACCCCTCTGCGAGCCCCCGGGGTGGCACATGGAGCCACCACTGTCACTTGTAACCACTGGCGCTGCCAGAGCGGTGACAAACTGGCCTTCACATCTCATTAACCAGCCGTCAGCACAGGGGATTAAATTTGCAAGGGTTCTGTTAATATGTAAATGAACCACTTTAATTATGGCCTCTTCTTGGCTGTTTCACCCAGCTAAAAATAACCTGACAAAACTGCGCTTTAAGTCACAATGACACTGGCAAATAAATCCCCTCTCAGAAGGACCCACTCCCTGGAGAGCCGAGAGATTTATGGGCTGACTGGAGAAATTACACAAACATTTATCTGGACTTGGGGTCAAATGAGACAAGTGTGAGACAGCAACAGCACTGCCCCCTCCTGAAGGTGCCCAGTGAGGGGGTTTTTCCTTAATTAGCCTGCGTCACTTAGGGATGAAGCCTACTTGGAGATTTAGGAGGAGCTGAGAGCTCCACAGGGGAATTCAGCAAAGCCACAGCTCCTTTGCAATGGAGACCTCTGGCAGTGCATTTGGCAGGAAGGAGCTGCTCTGGAAGCTGCGTTTGCACAAACTTCCCAGAGCTGAGCTGTCTGGACAAAACACAACTGGAGTCTGCCAAGAGAAAAATCAGAGCTCCTGGCAGAGCCCAGCACCAGTGTGGCAGTGCTCCAAGAGCAGATCCACCTACTGATGAGGAGAGCATCCATAGGATGGAGGGTTTTTTATTCCTGAAAGAGAGAAAAATCTGCCAAGATAAGACTTGTCAAGTGGCCAAGAGAAAAATAAAATGAAAAAATAATAAAGTATCAGAGAAAGGCTTGTTGGCTTTCCATACCTAAGTATGCAAAGATTCATCTGCTCATTTATTGCTTGTTTTTCATTAGTGCTGGGACTCAAAAAATAGTAACTCATCTGAAGTATCAAAATACATCCATGAAGGCCTAACAGGACAGTTCTCTACAGACAGGGGAGCAGGATGTGCTTCAGACACACAACCCAGGAATGGAGCTGCTGTTGCTCAACTCATTCTTCCTGCACACACAACATGGAATCCTAGCACTGTTTGGGTTAGAGGGGACCTTTAATGCTCATCTCATTCCATCCCCTGCCAGTGATACCAGGGACACCTTCCACTAGACCAGGTTGCTCCAAGCCCCATCCAAGTGGGCTTTGGACACTTCTATGGATGGGGAGTCCTTAGCCATCCACGTAAGCAAAGCCCTGCCCCACCAGGGAGCCACGGCTGCAGCTCTGGGATCCTGAACTTACCCTTCTTTGCTTCCATCAGCTAATAATCCATCAGGGATTTCCACAAAGAGGCTCTGGTTTGAGAGCACTGCATCCCAGGAGGAGGTCTTCACCTCTGTGACCTTGTACTGGAAGTGGACAATGTGAGGCTTCCCTTCATGCACTGGGACATCTTGGCTAACAGTGATCTTCTCATCCTGGGAAAACAAAATCATCAAGTCCTGAACAGCTAGGGGACAACTGGAGAGAGCAAATGCAAATAAATAGCATTAGGGTTTGACTGAGAAGAAGATTATGCTTTTCCCTTCCCCTTTCACTGGCTCAGGGACACATCCTGCAGTTCTCAGCCCTCAGAGTGATTTCTACCCAGGGGTAGTGATGGATCATGAACTGTCCTTCAAAGAACACAACTGGACCCAATATAGGCAGCTGCCACAGCCTGACCAGTCAAAACCAGTGCCTCCCCCATGCCCAACATAGCCTTTCTGTTCCAGGGATAACCACAAATTGCTTTCCCAGATTTTCCAACCCATGGTTTGCCTCCTGGTGTAAGAGAGAGAAATACAGTGCAGGGAGATCCCAGAGCAGATCTGAGGCTGGTGAGAAGGTCTTCTCCAGAGACCACAAAGACCACAAAGGCACATGTCCCACTCCAGCCCTGCCTCAGCAAGAATGCCAAGCATGTGGATCTCAGATCCAGCTCGGCAGTTCCTAGAAAACAATCCCATGGTTAAAACTCCATTCCTCCAGACAATTCTGGCAGGCAGTTGGCTTGCCCTGTAATGATTTCCATGTTTCATTGCAAAGAGCCCCAGTGAAACAGCAAAGACCTGAGTTAAGGCTGTCACTGCAGGGGAAGCTGAACTGTCCCGTGTGCTGGTGACAGCTGCTGCATCCCTGTTCCCTTACATTCCTAGTCACCTGCACAGCTCTGAAGGGCATAAGTAAAGCAGAATCCAGGATCATGCATGCTCTGCTTCCGAGTCACGGGAATGCCTGGGAAAGCCATGTGTCCCTCCCTCCTCAACAGGTGGGCTGGGCAGTGGTTTCCTCTGGGTCATTGGGGGAGCAGCCGTTCAGCCTCCAGGTGTTTTAATTTAACAGGGTGATTAATTCAACAGTTCCTCACAAGCCCTTCCTGCCTCCTCAAGCTGCTATCCCAGTGCCTTAATTCCTATTACCTCGTGTCTTAAAATAGCTGCCCCTTGGTTTGACTATTGTGACAAAGAGGCCACCGAGGACGACCTTAATGCTGGTGGACAAAGTAACCCCCCATGCAAATCGGGAGCTGCTTGGCCTCGGTGAGCGGAGCAGAGAAAGCTGCCCTTCGTTTAAAGCCCACAAAGCTAATCTGAGAAACAACTTCACCAGAATAAATATCCTGTAGGAAATAAGTTTATTCATGGAGTTTGAAAGAAGTCTGCGTGGCTGAGTTCACTAGTTTTAAGCCAAATGCACCAAGAAAAGCACCCACAGCTGCTCCAGTGAGATCAGGCTGCTGCAGAGCCCTGAAAGAGTTCTGCACCATAGACATATTTTAAAAAAACAAATCCAAGGGGATTATGTGCATATCCCTCAGCAATGAATTTATAGGAGCCTTTTACAGTTGTTGTTAAGAGTGCAGAAAGCATCTCTGTTCCAGAAAAGATGCTCCTCTCCAGAAAAAGCTCACAGATGATGCTTTTCTCATACTCACAAAACCAAAACCAGGGTGAGGAAGTTGAGGAAAGAGGGCTGGGATTGACACGTGGGAGGGGGAGGTGTGCCTTTGGGTGGGAAGACTGGCAGGAGCACTGCCATAGGAGGGGAAAAGTGTTCCAAGCCATTTGCCTTGGAACTTTCTTGTCACCAGTTCTGCCCTGTGCTCCAAACCCAGCAAGGTTGTTCTCTGAAACCCCTCTGTGACAGTCCAGGAGCCAAAGGCAGCACAACCACAGGGATTAGCGGAACCAGTTCCCCCAGTTCAGTGGGAATTATGTTTACACAGCTCAGGCAGCTGACAGTCTATTTCTAGGCATCCAAACAGAGATGCTGGGGAAAAGAAGCTGTTCATCTGAAGCAGCAGCAGCCCAAAATTCTTTGGAAGCTGCTCAAAGCAAAATCCTGTCTACACAACAAGTGCTCAGTTTTAATTCACAAGGGAAAAATCACCCCACAAAATCCCCCTGCCATGTTACTGTGGACAAAAAAAAACCCCAGCAGACTCTCTCTTACAAACTGCTGCCCAAAACCAGCTCTCCAGCCCTTGGCTCCATTTCAGCAACACAAAGCCACAAGGACCAGCTTCTACTTGGTTGTAGTTCACTGAGCACAAATTTTCCAGCCCAGCTCTGCTCCTCCCAGGAAGGGCAGGGGAGGCCCCAGCGTGCTGGCAGGGTCAGGAGAAAGGATGTTATGATCCACCCCGACCAAGCAACTGTAGAGAGCCATGGAAGCTCCGGCTGCTGGCATGTGCTGCACCTGCAGCCTCCTGCCAAGTCTGCCAGCCAGGGCACGTCCCAGATGTCGCTGTGGCACTCCCAGCTCCAGCAAAGCTCCTTGGATGGAGGGCTGATATTTAAGTCTCTTAACACAAAAACACCAACACCTATAGGGAACCCCAGCTGTTTAATTTACAGCGCTGCTGTATCTGAGCGCTGTGTGTGCTGGGGGAGGCAGCTCCTTCGGAAAGGTCATCCCTTGGACTGCAACAGCTGATACAGCTGGAAAAAGGACTTAAGCTTTTGGATCCAGATTCCTTTCCAGGTCATGCTGCTGGCTGCAGGCTGAAAAGCTCAGGCTGCTGTAACTACAGCACTGCCAGACGTGGGCAACCAAAGGGCAGAGAGCCCCTGTAACCCCCACCTGAGGTCTGACACACCTGGGGCCCCTCATTCCAACACAGACACTGAGGGGCTGCAGCACGTCCAGAGAAGGCAGCAGAGCTGGCAAAGGGTCTGGAGCACCAGGAGTGGCTGAGGGAGCCAGGGGGGCTCAGCCTGGAGAAAAGGAGGCTTATGGGGGACCTTCTTGCTCTCTGCAACTCCCTGACAGGAGGGTGGAGCCAGGTGGGGGTCAGGCTCTGCTCCCAGGGAACGAGACAGGACAAGAGGAACAGGCTGAAGTTGCATGAGGGGAGGTTTAAGTTGAATATTAGGGAAAATTTCTTCACTGAAAGGGTTGTCAAGTATTGAACAGGCTGCCCAGGGCAGTAGTGGAGTCCCCATCCCTGAAGGGATTTAACAGCCATGTGGATGTGGCATTTGGGCACATGGTTTAGTGGTGGCCTTTGCAGTGCTGGGGAGCAGTTGGATTTTACCTTAACCCAAACAATTCCATGATTCTATGTTATAGAAGGGGCTGATTTTCTGACAGATTCTGCTAGTTTTGTCAAGCAATAAAGGCGGGAAGAATTCCATCCATATTTCCGGGATGCAGCTATATGGATGACATCCCTGTGCCTACACACCACTGCCAAAATCTCTGCAAGTTCATGGCTGTACTGAAAACTCCGAACTGTGATTCCTTCCACCAGCTCCCCCTCCACACTGAGCCCATTTTTTTCTGCCTCTGGGCCTTGCCTGGTGGTGCACACAAGGCTTGGCAAAGCTGGCTGGCAGGAGTTTCACCTGCAGGGTCTCCTGTGTCTCATGTAGATGGAATTCATTATTTGTCCTGAGCCCTCTTGAATCTATTTTTGTACCTTCTTTCTGTGACAGGGAGTCTCTTGTGCTGCTTCTCTGGAGTACACACCCTTCTAATATCTGTGACAATTCACCTCGAGCATTAAGCTGATGGCACATTGTCACTAGAGGCTCACAGGTTGACGTTTCTTCACAAGGGAAGCAGGTAAGGAACGTGTTAAAAATTCACCAAAGGAAACTTTGAAAGCAGATGTGAGGTCTGGCATTCTTTCATGAATTCCAAGAGGAGGCTCTGGGAGCTTCGGCCCAAAAGGTCTGTATCATTCCATCATGTAACGCCTGTGTGCCACCCACAGGGCAATTACAAATCAAGTCTAACAACACCTCTGGCTCAACAGCCAAATTTGCAAGGTAAGCATAATTTTAGGCTGCCTCATCCCTGGCATGTGGAAAAGCAGGCCTTGTCCCAGACAGATGTGAGCCAAAGTCACACAAGTGACAATTATTCTACAGGAAGGAGCAGCCAGATCTCATTCAGAAGGACAAGTCCCATGGAACAAAGAGGGATGAAAAATGAGAGAACTGCACAGAGCCACATGCTCCTGCAAGTCTGCAGACCCAAACCTTTCTGTTCTTGCCCTGCCCTTGCACATGTTCTAGAAACACCCCAGGCTGGGAGGTGGGTGGCTGCCTTTCCCATCTGTACCTGGGTTCAGGCAGCTCCCAGGCCCCAACAGCTTCACCTTCCAGACAAGGGCACAGGAAGGAGCTTATCAACCCTTCCCTCATTGTGTTTCACCTTTCTGCTTTCCGCTTCCTTCTTCTGCCAGACATTTTCAGGAGTCCTTTCATGTTTTGATAATGCAGGCTCTGTGAACAATAGCTGCAACAGGCCCCTGGGAGCAGGGCTGGTGAATGATCTGCTGCACAGTGGGCTCTCTTTTCTTAATTAACAGGTGATATTCAAGCAGGAGAGCCCTCCCTGCAGCTCAGTCACTGAAAAATTACCTGTTCTCCCTTTTATTACCTTGGAATTCTTTGCATTTATTCCCATCATACTGCAAAAGGAACCAAACAGTTGCAACACGAGTACAGGTCGTTACTTAGACATTAAATCTTTCTTACCTTATATATCAGAGCTGAAAGAGAAGGATCCCTGCTACCCCCTCGCCCACCGGGGATCTTCGACAGTGGGTGAGGGGCATCAGGAGCACCACAGAGGCCCTGGAACGATGTGCCTGCAGCACTGCAGCTGGGGACAGTTACTCAAAGGTAAAATACTACTGCAAGAAAAGGAGAGAACATCAGGTTACATTAGCAGGGATCATGTTTTGGAGGCTCTAGCTCCCCAAACCCCCAAATCACTCATATCCCTGCTCCTCCACAGCACCCAGATGTCGACATCAAAACCACCCGCTGCCCCAGTGGCACCAGAACTGGCGTGTTTTGTTAGGAATGGAGGAGGGGCTGGAGCCAAGAACCCAGAGAGAGTGCTGAGCAACCTCATGCTAATCAGAGAGGCCTGGAAGGCTGCCAGAAGCAGATGGCTGGGAACACATGACCAGATGAGCATGCATTTTCTAGAGACAAATATCTACAAATAGATCAACAGGGCCCAGGAGGAGAAGGTTTAAGTTTCATGTTTTCAAATCGAGGAGGAATGAAAGGGGCGGTTCTTCAGACACCTTCAATGAGCTCCACAACGTCTGCGGCAACGTGTTCACAGGCACGTGAAGCATCAGACAAGTGTCCCTCACCCTAACCCTAAAAATTATAAATTTACCCCAGAGATCTACTTTTACAAGCAAGAAAACACATTTCCCTTGCAATTTCCAAGTTTGTTTGGAAGTCCTACACTTGGTCTTCCAAGCTCACTTTGGACACAACCTTTAATATCTGCTCTGGCTTTTAGGAAGCTCATGAAAGCAAATTATTTTACCTTCTGTAGCTTTGGTTCCTCTCCAGCACCACAAAAGCTCTGTGTGGAGGCTCAGTGTTTCTCTAACACAGCCTGCAAAAGCCATGCAGCAAAACCAGTCCTTCCCCAGTGGAACATTATGGAACACATCAGAGCAAAGCTCAAGAAGCAGCACCAAAACAAAGGGGTGCAGGAGGGTTTTCATGAGCACAGGGCCAGGAACGAGGCTAAAGTAGATAAACTCTGCAGCTGTACTGACAACTCACTATCTGTCCTGAAACTTCTCACTTGAGCTGTTCCCAATATAGTGTTTTTCCACTCTAATCCCTCTCCACAAGGCAGACAGGCTTAAATATCCAAACACCAAGTATGGAGCTGCACTGTCAGAACCACCTGAACCACTGGGGATCACAAACTGGTTCAGTCTGGGAGGGACCTTAAAGCATGTCCAGTTCCAGCCCCTGCCATGGATACCTTCCACCAGAAAAGGTTGCTCCAAGCCCTGTCCAACCTGGCCTCATAACCTGCCTGTGCAGGCTGCAAACCAGCTACTAAAATCTGGCATTTCTGAGTGCCAAAAACAAAATTTGCAAACGCAGTTACAACACAGGCAGAATCCCCCAAGGATCTCAGCTTCCCACCTCCTACCAAAACCATCTTTCTACAGGAAACACAAATATTCTTTCTCCATTTGTTTCTTCCTCCAGGTTTACTAGAATGGGCTCTGGAGCAGGGTTCCTGAGTGCCATGGCTTAGAGCAGGGACCTCTTGGAGAAAAGGCTATTTAAATACACCAGGAGAAGGAGGGCAAAGCCAGGGAAGCCGGGTATTTTGTGCTCCCCGGTGTGCCTGGGGTTATCAATGGGCCAGTGTGTGTTCAGTAGTAGTGGATGTGGAGAGGATGACAAAGCACTTTGTGTCGTCCCCACCCCCAGAAAGCTGTTGGCAGCTTTGTTATTCCCTTCCCTCCTCCCTCACCCCCCAGCCAACAATATACTATTGATAGCTCTCTCCAACTTTCGGCCAAGGCATGGAGAAGCTGGATAATGAAGTGGAGTTGTGGGAAAAAAAAAAAAAATCAAACAGAGGCAGTAGTTTTCATGCAAAGCAGCTCAAGACACTTCCCAGTTTCACTTCCTCTGACACATGCAGAAGTCAAAACACAAGTCTCCCTTCAATCACCGAGCCCTGCCTGTGGCACTGCCCAGACCTGCACACCATCACTATCCCTCCAAAATCAGGATACTTGCACGTCACCACTATCCCCTTCCAAAATTAGGGTCCCGAGACCAGCACCCTCAGGATGTATGTGGGGCACAGGCTAAAAGAGATTTTGCTTCCTCCAGCTGCACTTCAGCTCCTGGGAAAAAGTTCATGCAAACACCCAAAACGTCTGATCCCTCCACACATCCGTACACCAGCAGCCCATTGCAACCCTGCTCCCTTAGGCCTGTTTGTAGCTTAAAAATTAGGCATGTGCTCCCTTCTGACCTCTCTCCTCCTTGAAGAAGCTTTCCCACAGCTTGGTTACGACCTTTCCCTGGAGAAACTCCTCAGTAAAAGTGGCTCGGCTGAGCCCTGCCTGAAAGGGGAGCTGGAAGCCGGTGTTACACTCTCAATTCTGCGGGTGTAATTTTAACTCCCTAAGCTCCCAGCGATCCTAGCCCTGTGCCCTGTCCCTGGGAAGCGCAAAGGACACCTCAGCAACTTGGGAACTCCTTCACGGTTCCTTAGCAAACCTCACACCCAGAGCCAGGCCGGGACCAGCACCTCGGGGGCTGAAATTCGCACACTTTACTGTGATTTGGGGGCTTTATTTACTTTAAACACTTAGACCAGAAAGAAGGATCCAAAGAGCTCCCCTGACTGGAGAAATGACATTCTTTTGTTTGTTTTCCTTTCTGCCCTTTTCTGAAACAGGCTATGGAGATGCGGCAGCACTTGGCCCATAATAATAACACTATGTTATTATTGCAAGACACATATCTAGGATTTGAGGAGCAAATTGCAAATAACCATTTGGTGACCACAGCACAGGTCAAGCATCTCCCACAAAGGCAGCGGCCAAGAACCCGGGCTGCTCCGTGCGCATCCTCTGGGCTCTTATCGGCGACAGAGGCGCAGGAAATGACACTCTGGGGAGTCTAAACAAGGAACAGACACACGAGATAAAATCGGTCAGCTGAGAAAAATACACAGATCCTGCAAGTTGGCGCCTGCTGACACCCAAACTGCGTGGAAAAAGCCACCCTCCCGCAGGCAGGAAGGGGTGCGGGGAGGGAGCGCCAGGGCAGGCCGGCGAGAGGTCCTCAGGCCGCGGTGCGCCCACATCCACTCCCGGGGGGCTCCTTCACGGGGAAGAGATGCCTCGATGGGGATTTTAATCGCGGAAAGGCAGAGCGGCCTCCCCGTCGTCCCGCGGCCTCCTCGTCGTCCCGCGGCCTCCCCGCCGCCTCCGCGCCTGCCCGCGCCCCGGGCCCGCCCGCCGCCGCCGCCGCGCTGAGGGGCGATAGGACAGGCGCCGCGCACCTGTCCTGGGTGTTTATCATCCTGGGCTCGGCTCCGGTCCCGCTGCGGCTCGGTTGGTCGCGCTGGTGCCCCCCGTGCGCTCCGCTCCACGCCGCACTCCGACTGACCCCGCGGGCCCGCGCGCTGACACGCCTCCCCGCGTCACGCGCCCGGCCCCACCCCCCGCGCTGTGCACACCCGGCCCCGCCCTTCGCCCCGCCCTTCGCCCCGCCCCGCG